AAATAAGCCAGTCAGAGAGACAAATACCATATGATTTCACTCATATGAGGAATTTAAGAAACAAAACAAATGAACAACAAAAAAAGAGAGGGAAAAAAAAAATAGACTCTTAACTATAGAGACCAAACAGAGGGTGTCCAGAGAAGAGGCAGGTGGGAGTATGCATGAAATAGGGGAAGGGGATTAAGAGTACACTTATCTTAATGAGCACTGAGTAATATATGGGACTGCCAAATTGCTACATTGTATGCCTCAGACTAATACAACAGTGTATATTAACTACACTGGAATAAAATTAAAAATAAAGTAAATACACACACAACAAACTGGATCTTTATGATACACTAGACACTCCTAGAGAATTATACAATAGAGAGCTCATTGATATCCAAAAACAAATCATGATCTCTAGAAAATGATAATATCACACTAAGATTGGTGTCCTTTGGGAATGGATCAAATCCTGTAATCTGTTTTAAGTAGCCACCCTAGGATCAGTTAGAGTAGAGGCCTGGAACTAGAGTTCTGAAGTGGATTCTAAGTTGGTAGTCATATCTGGGGGGGATCGGAGGGTGTGGGTGGGTGGTGGTAGTGGTGGTGATAGTGAGAGTTCAAAATATTACAATGATAAATACTAAATCATGTCCCAGGCATACTATCATACATTTCAAACCAACCAACTGGAGGAACTGTTGGATTCTAAACTCCATGGATGGAGTATGGAGATGCTGGGGACAGAACTGAGCTGAAGAATTGGGCTTGATCCTTCACATGCTGGACAAGCAATAAGGCACTACCCTTTCACAGTATGATAACAGATTATCTTCAAACATGTCATTTGGAGAATATGTTTTGCATAGAAAGATTCCTACCCCTTCCTCTTGGCTACACTTCTGTTCATAATATCAGAAAATAGATCCTGGGATGCCTGAGTGGCTCAGTCTATTAGGTGGCAGCCTTCAGCTCAGGTCATGATCCCAGGGTCCTGAGATCAGGTTCTCTGCTCAGTGGGGATCCTGCTTCTCCCTCTCCTTCTGCCTGCTGCTCCCTCTGCTTGAGCTCTCTCTCCCTCTCTCTCTCTGTGTCAAATAAATAAACAAGAATCTTTAAAAAAAAAAAAAAAAGATCCTATGTTGTATCCTGTCCAAAGTTATTTATTGTTTTCTAAGTTTATGGCTCTTGTAAATACCCTCAGGTAAAGGAGGAGTCTGAGGTGTGGAAACATGCACCCACTCCAGATCTCAACCAAATAGAACCTACCATAGAAAAATATACATAAGGTCGGTATAAAAAGCGTTTAAGAGCACAGATTTTCTGTTAGTTCCTGTGGCTTTTGTAACAAATTTTCACAAATTTGGTGGTCTCAAATCTCCAGTTTAATTATGGGAGCTATTGAAAGTACAGATTTTCTGTTATAGCTGCAGGCATTCATAACTTTCAAACTCAGGGAAAATGCTTTGAGTGTTTTTTTAAATATTTTAAAGATATGGAACAATATGAAAGATTGTTTTAACATGTCTTCTATTTGGATATATGTATCCCAGTAAAATTAATTTATATAGTTTAGAAACAAGTACTGCATTAACAGAATGCATACAATAATAAGTTGAATAGTAAGTTATCATATTTATATTTTTCCCTTTCTGCTGGAAATTACAATTCATACTGCAATGAAAAATGAATCTTGGACAAGACACCCAAGAAAATAAAAGTGAATTTGATCTTATAAAGATCATCTATCTTGTTCTCTTAGATAGTGTAACAATTACAACTGCGAAGAATGGGTACTTTAAATTCCCTCACCACTTAGTCTAATTTGCCTCCTGTTGATAACACCTTTTACTTTTTACCACAGCATCCTACTTTATTTCCACTATAGCAGTTATCATTATCTTGTTCATATATGTTTGTTTATTATCTGCTTCTCACTATTTAGATACAAACTAAATATAAAGCTTTATCCTGTTAACTGTAGCATTCCCATCACCTACAATAGCACCTAGACTAGTGAAGGCATTTGCAGATTTTATTTACTAACTGGATAAATAAATAAATCAAATAATTAAAAGAAACAGTAAAAATTTTACAAAAATTATGGCAAGAATTCCAGAGAATAAAAAACTTACAGATTGGAAATGCTTTGTCTTTACAGAAGTCTATTTTAATTAAGTTGCTAATATGTCTTCATTTCATAGACATTTTCAGTACTTACTGAGATAGATGTAAGTATCTCAATGGGAAAATTTTCCTTTATCTTTTATTTAACGACTGTTTTAGCCTACAAGGTTCTACAGACTATAGGATATACCACCTTTAGGAAGTTTTCCATAAACCTCCAAGAGAAAAAAAAGTCAAAGAATGAATAGAAGTGGGCCTTTTTAGAAATGCTGTTGGTGTTTTTCTTTCTTTATAGAAAGGATCTAAGCTTACATAAAAGATGTCCAAGATATTAATGTTTTATTTACAAACAGCAAAATCTTTATAGCCTTGTACTTCAAACTGTACAAATTTATCTAAGACTCAAAATTTCTACGAAGCTTATAAAATAATTTGTCAAGCCAGGCATTGCCTCCCAGTCTTCAGGTTGGAGGGTGGATATCCTAGCTAAATTAATGAACACACATAGAATTTCTTTTTTGTCTGATTTCAAGAATGGTAAGTTGTCATTTTCCAAATACAACTTTTGTTTTGACATGTTAATCTTATATCATAATGTCTATTGTTATTCTCTACCTTTCCACCTGGTAAGAAAAAAAGATTAACAAAAAGACATTAAGCTGTCCTTGCATAGGAATATCAAAATGTTAAGTATATTTCAGGTGTGAAATCTACAAAATGTTCTCATAACCTTCATTCTGCCAAAGCAACACTGTACAGATGTGCCTGGAAGTCAAGTAGCTATTAGAACTGATCCCTGTTGCTGTGATGAAATGCAAAGACCAACCAATGTTACTGATAAGATATTGCTATCAAAGTTAGGATTATTAGCTGGAACATTCAGTCACAGCACAGGAACTGACACTTTTTGAAATGAAACCAAGAACCTTCCATGTTATATTTCAGTCCTTTGTGAAAATTTCTAGGTCAAAATCAGAGCAATCCAAATATATCTGCTTACAGAGAATGTGCAAGTCTATTGTCCTAAAATTGTCCATCTTCTATCACCTGAAATCACATGACAGAGAAAAGTAGGCAGACAGCCTCTGTCATTTCCAATTTAAGTTTCACTCTTAACTTAAATCTTAACTCTTGAAAATCTTAACTCTAATTAGCTCTCTAAAAAGTCATGGTGGCCTTAGATTGTCTTAAACAGTAAACTATAAACAACAACAACAAAATCAGGGATATTTTTCATTTTAACACTTCATTTGTCACATGTGGGAAGTGTACATTTTATCATTCAAGGTTTGATTTAAAATGAATCTGAATTGAATGAATAATCTCCTTATCCTACCCCATTCTCACCAAGTAAGGAGAGACCACCACTCATTACCACTCATGCTGTAATTTATTTCAGTCTGTATCTGCTTTTATTCTCTCTACTTCCTCTCTGCTCCATTCTGCCCTCCACCACCAGATTGATTCTCCAAAAATATCTTTTCAGTCATGTTATTCTTTGGCTCAGAAGCATTTCCTGCCTCTTAGCTGGTCAGGATTTTCTCTAAGCCTGTTCACCTCACATTCTGCGTCTTTCATTTCATGACCTCTCACTTTCCACTGCTCCTCTGACCCTATTCCCTATGACCAAAACATCCTGTAACGATCTACATAATGTCCCTTTCATCCTCTTTCTGTAGTACTTGATTTTTTTTTCTTTTTTCTATGGAATTCCTGGTGGCTGAAATATCCTCCCCTACCTTTTAACATTCTTCCTTTAAGATCTAGCCCAAATACCTTCTCCTGTACACAAAGTTCTCCAGGAACACTCACATAAAGACATCTCTTCCTCCCTGTGGTGATCCATTACATGGACATTCTCCAATAACCGTATATTTCTTTAGGTCTGATTTGAATTTAATTAAATGTTGCAAAGCATTTACATTTTTTGTTCATTTATATTCTCTCCAAAGGTAGATTATGAACTATCTAAAAGCAGTAGCCACTTTCTAACATTCCTTTTCTCTCCTAAGATAGCTAGCACAGTGTTTTTCAGCTAATAAACATATAATTAATGTTCCCTAAATCAAGGATTTTTAAAATATTCGAGAAGTGAACAGATTGTGTATGTGACTAAACAGGTCCAGAATCATTACTGAACATGTCTAAAGGTGACTGACTAGTACTCAAATATGTGGTTTGCTAGATTATTAAAAATATTTTCTATTTATACCAAAGCTATAATATTGCGTTACTTAATTGGTTGTTCCTAAGCCATGAAATTTATAAAATACACTGTTTTAAAAAAGTATAGGCATATATAGGCAATTTGCAGATATAGTCTTGCATATAAATATTTATAAGTAAAACTAGATATAAACAAGTTTCTCTGTGAATACACATATTTCAAGGGCAACTCCAGAGAAGTCAGTTTAAATGATTTTCAAAGTAAGAAACAATACGCAAGAAATGCAATGACAATGGGGACATTGATATTTTTAATGCACTCTGAATGACATGACCAATAGCCTCGTAAGAATCAAATATTACACAAGTCTCTAATGTCCTGTTAAATCTTATGTTCTGTCATATAGCACTATAAACATATAATTGTAAATCTACATTTTCCATGAAGGTGAATAAGTAGCTTAATTTAATTCCCGTAATGTTTAAAATGTGGTGGACAATTCCAAGATCAATTTTATTAGGGAGGTTTTAATATTCTGGTATGTGAAAAACAGATAGAAATAATGTTATTGAGAAAATTAAATCAACAACTATTTTTAAATCAACAGTAAGTTCTTAGGTTCCGGTTGAAGTGAGTTTGACATATGTTGGATTTACTCTTTCACAGCGCTGTATCCCAGGGCAGTTTGGTGCTAATACTACATATTGTCACTTACCATCTTTCAGGATGGTTTCTCTCTCTGTGCCATCTATCTTCTGCCGGCCAATTAGGAAACTGGTGGTGTCAGCAAAGTAGATATAATTGGTTTCTGCGTGGAAATCTAAAGCACGAGGGTTTACCAGATTCTCTATGGGGATCATGTATTCATCAGCTATCTTGGTATTCAAGTCCATTCCTCTAACAATTCCTGGGCGTCCTTTCCCATAAAAGAGGAACAACTCATTCTTCGGTCCTGCAGAAGAAAGATTACAAACACAAACAACTGAGGCTGTCTAATCTTCTTTACACTGCAGAATGCCACTGTTTAATTAACTGGCACAATTAGCGTTTTTTAAATTCAATACCAAAAATTAAACTCTAAAATATGCCAAATGTATCTTGATGCAAGAAGTCCAGCTAATTGCATTACTTTAATTAAAACAGAAATTACTTCCGTGAATGGGTTATATTTAATTATTCTTTTGTCTATAACTGTCTGTATAGCAAAAACATGACAGATCATTGGATAACTGGTAATAGTAAAATGGACATTTATTAAAACATCCGGCACATTTAATTTTACAATTCATTACAATCTATCTAACACATTCTGTAGATACTAACTGTAGCATTCATTATGTCTGACAATGCTAAAAACTTCAGAATATTTAAAGCACCCTGCCTCAGAGTTTGCGTCTAAGGCTGTCAAAGGCAAACAAATAGAATCACATAGTATCATAAACATGCAGGAGAATATATTACAAATGTCTGAACAAGTGATGTATTTATTTTTTAAGAAATGAAATAAAATGCCAGTCATAGCTTCAACTTTTTTCTTTACATCTTAATTAGAATGTAAGAGGTTGATGTTGTCTGCCAGTAACTCTGATGTACAACACAGCCCTTATCAAAAATGAAACAAAACAAAACAAAACAAAAACAAAAACTCCAAACAAAAAACTATTTACCAGGTTAATATGCTAAAATCAATTGTAGTTTTTTCTACATAGTGAGTTGACTCCTTCAGACTTTAATGTGGAAATACACACCGTGCTCTTTAATTTCTAGAGCAATTGACTTAGTTTAGTTTATACAATTTGAAGAAAATACTTTTATTTTTAAAGATTTTATTTATTTATTTGACAGAGAGAGAGAGATCACAGGTAGGCAGAAAGGCAGGCGGGGGGCGAGGGGGGGAGCAGGTTCCCTGCTGAGCAGAGAGCCCAATGCGGGGCTCAATCCCAGGACCCTGAGATCATGACCCGAGCCAAAGGCAGAGGCTTTAACCCACTGAGCCACCCAGGCACCCCATGAAGAAAATACTTTATATAAAAGGGAAAACATACTGAGTTTTAGTAAAACTGAGGATACAAATGACTCAATTATAATTGGGTAATGGTACCATAAGTGAGATTCTTAGCAAAGCAAGATAACTAAACTATAAAAAATTTGGAGAAAAAAGAGGAAAAAAATGAGCAATTACTTATAAACTCAATACCCTCAATACAAACAATACTGTCCGTTTAAATATTGTCTTTCTCTCACTTTCTTTTAAAATTTATGTTACTGAATATTAAATGTATATAAGCTGATATTTATTATATTTTAGTATATTTTAAAAAAGCAAATTTCATGCATCTGGCAGAGATCTTAATAATATTTCCAGAATACTGAAAGGTATGCATGTGCCCTAAACCAATTCTCCACTCCTTATTTTCTTATTCCCCTTTCATCCCAAAGACATCCAATATCCTGATTATTTTATCATGTATTTTGTCAAGTTTTAGTACATATATTACATGTATTTCCCAACAGTACACTGTTTGATTTTGCATGTTTGAATTGCATGTGTGAATTCTTCTGTGAATTAATTTTATTCTTACTACATCTGTAATATTACCTATGGTTGTTGTAGTCATTGTTCACATATTTCCACTGTTATATTGTATTCCTTCATGTGATTATTTCAAACTTAATTAATTTAGTTATTTTTCTAATGCACAATTAATTATATAGAAGAGGACACTCAATTTTATATTCTGCTTTTATTATCAAATCTTAGCATCAAAATTATTTTCTATGTTGACCTATTACTTTAAGCCTTACATTCATTCTTTCAGTATAGTCAGCATATGATAATTTTGTCAAACTGTTCCCAATTGGTTTTATCTTTTCATTATTATAATAATACTGAGATAAGCATGTTTTTCTTCAACCTAGCATTTTACGCATTTTCTTAGATGATCTCTAAGTATACATTTCTAGAAATGGAATTAATGGTAAAGAATATTAACATCCTTCTTCCTCATTGCCCTCATAGACTTTCAGTGTCCACCTACTTTCAAGAGTATTTTTTTTAAATAGTATCACATATTATTTAAAAGTAGCGATTTATTTGAAAATTAATATTTCTACAAATTTTATATGCATAAATATTTTGTTTTTTAAAAACAGAAATCTTAAAAAACATTAAAAATAATGTAAAAAATAAAAATAGGAATCTTAGGGGCACCTGGGTGGCTCACATTGTTAAGCATCTGCCTTCAGCTCAGGTCATGATCTCAGGGTCCTAAGATCTAGTCCCTGTTGGCTCCCTGTTCAGTGGGGAGTCTGCTTCTTCCTCTCCCCTCTGCTCATGTTCTCTCTCTCTGTTTCTCAAATGAATAAATAAAAATCTTAAAAAAAAAAGGCATCTTAAAAAAACAAAAATAAAAAGAATCCTATATACACTTCAGTACCTCATTTTAAAAAAATCATATCTAATTGTCATTAAAGTCTTCAAAACATTATTTCCTTTTTTTCAAAGGATTTTATTTATTTTATTTGACATAGAGAGAGCAGGAGTAAGGGAGAGGGAGAAGCAGACTCCCTGCTGAATAGGGAGCTCAATTTGGGGCTCAATCTCAGGACCCTGAGATCACACCTGAGCTGAAGACAGACGCTTAACCAACTGAGTCACCCAGGTGCCCCCCAAAACATTATTTTCAATGACAACATTGAAATTATTAAGAGGCATTAAGAGGCAACGATATAGTCAGCTGCTTACCTATTGTCGGATATTTAGATTGTTTCTGGGTTTTTATTATTACAAATATATTCACAGTGAATTTGTTCAGTCAAAAGAAGGATAATTTCTTTAAGGATACTGTTAGTTTTATGTTTTTTTAACTATTTTATCAAATGTCTTTCCAACAGTGATATCAATTTCCAATTCTATTAACAATGTATAAGAACACTAGTTTCACCATACTCAATCTGTTAATGATTTTTTTTTTTTCTTTCAAAGATTTTATTTATTTATTTGTCAGAGAGGAAGATCACACAAGCCGGGGGAGCGGCAGGCAGAGGGAGAAGCAGGCCTCCCACTGAGCAAGGAGCCAGATGATGCAGGAGGCAGTCACAGGATCCTGGGACCACGACCTGAGCAGAAAGCAGATGCTTAATGGACTGCCATGCAGGCATCCAGCTAGCATTTCTTTTTAATTGACATTTTCATTGGTAATTGATAAACCTATTATTATTGGTTTAATGTATATATGTGTGTCCTTTGGTTTAATGTATATATGTGTGTCCTTTGTTTTTCATATTTTTAAAGAATTTATTTGTTTATTTATTTATTTAGTGCAAATAGTGGAGGGTTGGTGCAGGGTGGGAATCTCAAGGCGACTCCCCACTGAGCGCAGAGGACTTAATCTCAGGACTTAATCTCACAACCCAGAGATCATGATCTGAGCCAAAACCAAGAGTCCGATGCATGACCTACTAAACCACCCAGATGCCCGTGTTTTAAATAAGAAAAAAACAATTTTCCCATTGTTTACTTAAGACACTTATTTTAGTTATTCAACACCTACTTTAAAGTTTCTTCTAGTGTGTTTTCTTCTATGATAGACAACTGAAACTAAAAATTACGGTTCAGAAATACTCATAGAGCAATGGGTCTGGTGTTAAGTACTTAAAATAAGATCTATTAACTCATGCTTATAATATGGAAATGAAGGTGCCTTTTGTTACTTCTATTGGTATTTATCTGGAGGAGTTATTGAATTTTTCCACATTAGTGTTCTTTGAGTTTTATCAAGCACAAGGAAGAGTTTTGTTTTGTTCTGTTTACCAGTAGGGAACTATCAGTTGTGGCATATTTCTAAAGCTAATAGTCATGGTGCAAGTTGTGGAAATTCCTCGGTATCAGTTAAAATGGTGTGTTTTTGAAGTTACCATTGGCATTTGTGGCTTCCTGATGCCCTGGCTTCTGAATGTGGCAAGTCTTCAGTTTTAAGCCAGGGTAGTTCAATGGTGGTTTTGAGGGATGTTCTGAGGACTGAGGACTGCTTCAGGATTATCTCTGATTGTGTAAGCACCTATTTATTTGCATTTGATCTTTTCCTGCTTAAAATAACTAGAATTGTCTCTGCTAATGTAAATGTACCATGATCAATACACTACATTAAGGGCGATTTAAACTTAGGCAACTGTGATCCTATTTTTCTCCAAACATATGTATGTATGTATGCATACATGCAAATATGTATGTATATATGTGTAGATTGCATTTTTTATGACATGCCATCACTTTTCAAATGGTAGCCATACCAGTTTAAAGGCTGGTCACACACACACACACACACACACACACACACTCAAAACTTCACTCATCTTGAGGCTTCTCTCATTTATCCAGAGGATCTCTTGATCATGAGACCCGGCGTTTAATACAAAGTTAGAAATATAAACAAAATACTAATATATATATTTTATCAAAGTGGAGCCTCCTGGGTTGTTGATTTAAAAATATTTGTGCTACCATTTAGACTTAAAATTTTAACAAAATAGTGATCTAATGTCATAGTCTCAGTAAGCACATGACAAGAAAGTCGAAGAGATGGCAAGACAGTGACCAGAGAGGGAACACTAACAGAAATTAAAAAAAAAAGTTATAAAAAATTTAAAAACCTAAAAAATTTGTGAAAGAAATCATGTAAAAATATGTTAAAAAAAAACATGTTTACTGATTTTCAACCTAATAAATCAGAGATACATTAAAAAAAAAGCCATTGCTATAACAAAATGGAGACACAATGGGCACTCTAAAAAGCAGTCATCATAACTTTAAAAATTATGGTATTGAGAGACATTTAAAGGGCAACAGTCTCCACAGGGACATCATTTCCATAAGGATCATTCTACTATATCTGATTATGAAGACCCAAGTAAAGACCTAAATTTAACTAATTTTGGGGCAACAATCTAAGTTTATAAAGTCATGTATGAATTATTTATTATTTAAATAAGAAACAATTAAATTATTCAGCATATTTCAAAAATAAAACAAAGATATGTCTGTTAAAAGCTTTTCAATAAAATTGTTAAAGAGATTGATATTTAATTAGTTTAGCTCCAGTTACCTGGAAAATTAAATAATGAAATGAATTTCACTCCCCAGTGATGCTGGATAAGATGAAACATTATTTTATGTGGATTTCTGTTGGACTAAACAACACACCTATTACTAGAAGCAACTTCTTAATTCATGTAACAGAAAATATGGTCAACCAAATACTTGGACTCATTGGATCAAAAACCTTCTTTAAGGAATTAGGGAAAGGATCTTCCTAAAAATATACCCTAAAATATGTTTCCCAGGGATCCATAAATTTAATGATTCTATAGCCTGATTCAGTTTCTCATTTGCATTATCACAAAAGAAAACAAACAAAAAACCCTGAATACCGAGAAAAATGGCTGGTACATTTTGCAGGCAAATTTCACCTGTTGAAATCTTATGATATTGCTGATCTTGATGTTGCTAATTAATAACAAAAAATCTATTCTGAAGCAGTGGCTGCTGGCAAAATGTCTGATTTTAACAACATACTTTTGCACGACCTGCCATCACTTCCCAAGTTGAAGCCCGTCCTGCAGCGACAGGTCCGTGTTTTGTAACTGCTGCTGAGCAGACAGATGTGTGAGCATCCCCCAGGCATTCCATATGGATCCACTTCACATGCATGGCTTCTGACTATGAGAAATAAAAAACAGCACACTTGAAAATTTCCAAAGACAAGATAATTATGTAGATCAGCGTATGTTGAAACGTTTGCAGTGCAAGGAGAGGGAATCCTACCACAAATCTTTATACCCAGCTATTTATTACCATAATCAATTGGAAAAAGAGTTTCAACCTCACAGAAATAGAGGTAGGAATTTGCCAAAGTCCTCCTAAAAACATGTTTAAGGAAACAATTCTGTTTTTATATTAATTTAAACTGTTTACATGTAAGTAAAATATGTTATATGATTTTTTGGATGCATGCTTGTTCTTTTTAAAAATACATATTTCTGCATTGCAGAGAAAAAATAAAAATAAAAATACATATTTCTTACAAATATAAAAAGATAACTGTAAAAATATGCCAGGTTAGGTCATTAAGCAGAGAAAGTATTTCTTTTGAAATAATCCATTATATGGGCACTTAATCTAAAAGATATAGGATTCAGTAACTATCTTTATTGAGAAGTCCTGAGACTTTTTTTTTTTTAGTTTTGAGTCCGTTGCCATTTTGAGAACTCTACCACAAAGTGAATGTGTGTGTGTGCATGTATAAATTTCAAAAGGAGTATGCTAGTTTACATGTGGAGATTAAGACATAGAAGGACATTTCATGAGTGTAGAAGTTAGAGAAGGAAAAAAGAAAAGGAAAAGTACTGTGTGAAGAGAATGAGAAAAAGATGAATTAAAGAAAAAAAAAGCTGTGGTAGGAATAGTATCAGTAATATTTTATATACTTTATAATATTTCTTTTTTGATCAACACTTGAAATTGTGACAAATAACATGGCAATTTTCTTTTAATTTAATAAACAGTTATGCTTTTAAAAATTGTGACATGTTTGTTTTGCATTCCTGATTTTCTAAATGAAAAGCTTTTTAACCCCCACTCTTATCCCCCATAGCCTATTGTCAACACAGTAGCCATACTGATTCCTTTAGTCAGTCATATCATGAGATTCCTCCTCTTAATGCTTCCTAAGGACTCCTCATCTCAATAAAAGTATAAGGAGAAGGTTCTAGAATTATCTCTAGGGCCCTACTTATTATGGTCCTCCTTCATTTCTCCAGCCTCATTCTTCTACCTGTTTTTCCCTTTTTCATTCTGCTTTAGACACACAGGTCTCCTTGCTGTTCCTTGAAAATCTAAGCATGTTCTTCCACATGGGTTTTGTGTTTGCTAATCTCTTTACCTGCCATGTCTGTGCCTTACTTCTTCAATTATTTCAAGTCTTCATTTAATTTCATTATTCTAGTGGGACTTCCTCTGACCATTCAATATAAAATTGCAAACCACCCTCATCCCTGAGACTTCCTCTATGCTTTATTTTTCTCTATAGCACTCCTAATCTTCTAAAATAATAATAATTTACTTGATCATTTTAAAATTATGTTTTCTCTGTTGGGATGCAAATCTCATATAAGCGAGAATTTTTCGGCTCTTTTATTCACTGCTGTGTCTATACAATAATGTCTATACAATAGTTTCTGGTACACAGTAAATGGTCAATGAATAACTGACAAATAATTAAATCCTAACAACAAATTCTAATAAAGTTACTTACAGAACTCCAAATTTAAGTGTGCTGTAAACAGATTTGTGAAAATACATTGTCTCAACTAAATCTATGTTAATATTTAGATAATTCTAAAGTAGTTTCAATTTGAAGCACAAAAACGGGATGAAAATTTGGGGTTGGTTATTCTTGTATGTCACATTATTCTATATGTAATTGTCCATAAATTGTATTGATGAACAAAGATCACTAACTTACTATGCAAAAATAACTAGTTTGTATCTTTAAGAAATAATTAGAAACATTACAACCTCTCATTAAAAGTTATTTTTTAACAATCTGAAGGGTTTGAAGAGGTGGGGGGGTGGGAGGTTGGGGGAGCCAGGTGGTGGGTATTGGAGAGGGCACGGACTGCATGGAGCACTGGGTGTGGTACAAAAACAATGAATACTGTTATGCTGAAAATAAATTTTAAAAAATGATTTTAAAAAAGTTATTTTAAAAATTAATTTGTATTAAAGAATAACTAGGGTAAGAGATCAGAATGACTGCAATAAAAACTGGGTAGATACTCTAATAGAGTCACCTGATTTGAAATGTCTCCCAAAATGATACCAAAGAAAAAACAAACAAACAAACAAAAAACTTTAGCATCTTAGCATCTGTCTACACACATCATGATTGAAAGCTCTTTCCTGAATCTAAATCTAGCCATCATTTCAATTCTGTGGTTGTAGAAACAATTCACTAGGAACTGAACAATTTGTCATTTAGACTTGTGCAGGGAGTGCTATTCCATATTATCAAGCAGACATGCACACTTTTGCTATCAAAAGAATTTATGACTCACCCACCTTAATTCCATGCAAAGTACAAGGACCATAGCCCATTCAGCCCACCATTTTAAAGGCAATGAAGAAGTCTTGAGTCTTACCTGTTGGTTGAGTTCTTTTTTGATAAATTCGGATTCCTCGAGCATTTTCCATTTTAATTAATGAATGAATATCTGTGCCATTAAATCGGTTTATCCTTATGATATTGAAGTTATCAGAATTGGTTGCATATAAATAGTCTTCAAACACAGTTATGCCATAAAGATGTCTGACCTATATGGAGGGGTAAAAATAACTATGATTTGTAATTATGCTGCTTTCAACTTGAAAGAAAAACTGATTGCTATTTACTACTGTGGGAAAATTCCCATAGTAGGAGAGTCACACACATATCATTTATTTTCTCTCAAAGAATTAAATATTGTACTAATTTAAATTTTTTCTCTGAAAAGAAAACATTATGCAGTAGTAGATAAAGCAGTTCCAAATGTGTGGAGAATTTTATTCATGATTCATTAAGAAAACACGTTTAGTAGCTACTTTTCAAAGGCAAGTGAGAACAAAACTTCCAAGCATACTCAATAAGAGGCTTATGGCAGTGTTCTATAAAATTTGAGATTTTTTTATGGACTGCTTGTTCATATAGTCAGGAGATACAAAATCTAAAGTATAGCGCCGGCTATGTAAGGACTGATGAGAAAACAACTTTAAAATTTATTTTATAAGTTCAAAATCCCATATATATATATATATATATATATATATATATATTTTTTTTTTTTTTTTAAATCCCACTTTTTTAAGCCACTAGTTACATTTAGATGAATACTTGTCCCAGAACGGCAAACAATAAATAATGAAACTATGTATTTGGAATAATTTTTTTAAAAAGACAGCACTTTACTCAGAAATCACATGTTTCTAAAGCCTATTCATACTGGAAATGTAACTAATGGCACTTGAACAATATAACTCTCCTAGGCAGAGGTCCTGGGAATTGAGTGGAGGATTGGACATCTTGCCGTCATGGCAAGTTTTGAGTAAAGCAGAGGAAGAAAGAGTTGACTCATTTTCTCATACATGCTAAGTACAATGCTTTTTGGCATTCCTCCTATTATAGTTAATTTAAAATGGTTCTGTGTCAGGGTGGGGTGGGGTTATGATTTGATTTGCTGTAGAGATTCTGTGGGAAAAATCTTTCACAATTCTTTGGCATTATATGGTACTTTTAGTATAGATTTGTAGTTAAGAGAATTTGAAAAAGTATGTATGGTTTGACTGTAGGAATTTATTTTTTAAAATATTTTATTTATTTATTTGAGAGAGAGAGGGAGAGAGAGAGCAAGGTGGGGGTAGGAGCAGAGGAGGAAGGTGAAGCAGAATCCCACTAACCAAGGAGCCGGACTGGGGGCTCATCCCAGGACCGTGATCATGACCTAAGCCAAAAGCAGACACTTAACCAACTGAGAAATGTAAGATAGGAATTAATGAGGAGCCCAAAATAAAGCCCAAATAATGTTTTGCAGCGTCATTCCCCAGTGTGTGTGTGTGTGTGTGTGTGTGTGTGTGTGTGCGCACGCTTGTGAGTGTTAGTGTGTGTGCATGCATGCACAGGTGCATGTGCCAGAGAGAAGGGGTGGGGGTGTCATGTGTTTATTTACTAATATCATTTGCACATAAGCTGACATCATATTCCCTAGATAAATCCAAACTCAAATTTGACTTGAGCAAAACTTTTTCCTATAAAAATTGCAAGTAAACTCAATTTTTCCATCACAATTAATCTCATGCCTGTTTTGCCCAAAGTTTGGAGCCAGTCATCTGGAAGTGTGGTTGTGGCATACCTACATTGCTCTTTACATAATTGCCAATCCACACCCAAGAGGGAAAAGCACAGCCACAGAAGGGACAATTGGGCAGGGAAGAAAATATGAAATTGCACTCACTGTCCCTGTTCCTCCCTTCAGAAGAGACTGTTTTCCATAAAGTAAGTACATTGTTGCCTGCTCTGCTACTCCTGACACAGGCGGGAGGAGCTTAGAGTTGTGGCTAGACCATTCTGCCTACAGCCCAGATATTTAGAAAAAAAAAATGTATCTATGTTGGATGACTTAGTGGCCCAGTAAGCATATGTTTAGGGAATCAGGAAAAAAAAAAAAAAAAAAAAAGGAAATGAAAAAAATGAACAATTGAAAACCAGACATTAGAAAACTTTTTAAAAGTTATCAGGAGGAAAATTATTTGAATTTTTTATCCTTGTTTCAAAGTTTAGAATTTTAATTACATATAGGTAAAAAGATGACCTATCATAATCATTTTAGAGATTAGATCCTCTAAAAATCATAACTAAGGCTTTCCAAAGAAATTAAGATTTTTAGGCAAAAGAATGAAAGATATAACTGGCCTCATCTCTAATATTGCACACCTTTCTTTCTTTCTTTCTTTCTTTTTTTTTTTTTTTTTTTATTCCCAGCTTGGTGCATTTGTTTGTCTGTCAAAGAAGGAAAAAGAATTTTTGTTAAAACTGATTAGAAAGGGAAGGTAACTTTAAAGGGATCATTACAGAATACTTTTATCTTGGATTGCAAAAGAAAGAAAAGGGATTCATATATTTTGTCTCCATAGAATAAGAATCTCACAAGAAATTAGTGCAATCACTGAGGTAAAATTGAATTTGAGAAAGTACATTAGCAAATAAGCTTATTTCTACTTAGAGATCTCCTTTCAGTGTCTACTGAGTGTTATCTACAAAACCTTGTAATTCAGCAAGGTAAAAACTATACAGATGGGAAAGATCTTGACCTCAGTGACTTTCACAGAATTCTCATTCTAAGAAGCACTTGAATACATCAAAAGGCAAAATTTAGTTCAACCTTTGAAAATAATAAAACTGTTGTTGTGAGCAGGCATTTGCTTTTGTTAGCACAGTATCTCCAAGGCCACATGGGATAGATGATAGTGTAGCTCCTTATAAATGAACTATTTAAATTAGATTTTAGTAAGTTTTACTTTTAATAGGTCAAAACATCTGTCTTATCCTCATTCTTTTCTTAGAAGTGTGGCACTTTTGCTTTTGCTTATTGTTTTTATTTTATTTTTGTTGCCTTGTGTTTTGTGTGCTTTTTTTTTTTTTAAAGATTTTATTTATTTGTCAGAGAGAGAGGGAGAGAGAGCGAGCACAGGCAGACAGAATGGCAGGCAGAGGCAGAGGGAGAAGCAGGCTCCCCACCAACCAAGGAGCCCGATGTGGGATTCGATCCCAGGACGCCGGGATCATGACCTGAGCCGAAGGCAGCTGCTTAACCAACTGAGCCACCCAGGCGTCCCTGTGTGCTTTCTTTTTAATAGAGCAAAGGAGGAAGTCAGAGGCATTATGGAACGCACTGTGAAAAGAACATTCTCCCATATAGGAAATACATCACAATTTTTATGACCCTTTGCAGCTTGACTTCATAAGAAATTTTCAACATTCCAATTCAAATTTTAGGTCTTCTTCCTAGTATGACACCATTCATTTTATCACCTTAGCTGCATTTTCTAACAAAATTGTACTTACTTGTCTGCCTTGAATGATAGTATGTCTGTTTTTTCCTTGATAGTCCACCACTTCCACATAGTCCAAGTAAAGATCTACCCAGTAAACCAATTTGTTGACTAGGTCTAGTGCCAGTGCAGCTGGCTGCTCTGTCTTTGAATCAATTATCCTTGTTCTGTTCAGCCCATCCATGTCACATCTCTCCACTTTGGCCACATTCCCGTAGTCAGTAAAGAAAAGTTTTCTGTTGAAAGAAAACTAAATGTTAAAGTGGGGGGGGGAGCATATTCAATACAACCATCTGTAAAAAACAGAACTTTTCCTTCTAATTTATTTCAGTGGTTACATCTGTTAGCTTCCCATAACCATTTCCATATAATATCACTCATAAACAGGGAAATCTGCTAATGAATATTGCAGGGCATAAGGGAGCAGGTTAACCAACAACTGTAAAATTTCCCCAAAATGGATGATTATGGTGGGTTTATTATTGTATTAGGGGAAATGTTTCTTTAAGCCTCATAGAGCTGATACACAGACACCACAGGAATGCACGCAGCCCATTTGGTATAAGCTTCGGAAGTGAGCCAAGTCACCAGGCCAGGGCACGTGAGCTATTAGGCTTTATCTTCAACCTGCTTTTCAAATTGCCTAGTAATGTCTGTCTCCTGTAAAAGCTATTATGTGGAGCTCAATGATGCTATGAGTGGTAGAGAATAGCAAACCTGGAATGGAATTAAGCAGATGGAAAAGCAAATGTGGTGTTTGTAGCAAAGGAAATAAAACATAAATAATCCCCCCAAAACCAATCCCAAATTCTCCCAAATATTCCCAAACCACAAAATTTCATAAAGCAAATGCAGGCCATTACTCCTCATTTTCTCTTTATTTGAAAGAACAAACTAAAAAGCAATGTTGACCTCCAAGACAAAAAATAATCCTTCTGTGAAACACTAATAGTGTCTATCAAAGGTTTAAATACCTCTAACACCTCAGTGTCTAATGTTTGATTAGTATTCACTATGTTTAGTAAACACAAATCAATTTCAGTTAACCTGACAATATTTTAACAAGATTACCTACTCAGGAGACTAAATTACCTTTGTAAATAGAAGACTATCTTACCTTGACTTAAATACAATCTCAAGAATAATCTGATTTACAGTGACTGAGAAATATTAAGATTACCTAGAGTATAGAATATTTGATTTTACAAACTTGGTGAATTAGTTTTTAGTTACTTTTCTCAACATCCTTGTATTATCTAACAGTATGGGGTATATTTCAAGCTAAAAAGTATTATTTGAACTGTAATTTAGCTCTTTCTCCTGCAGGAGGTTTTGACTAATTTTTAAACATTAATGCATACTGTTCTGTAACAGTATAAGCCAGATTTTATTCTGAGAAGATATTTCCCTAAATATTCTTGAAAGACCGATTTATCACGGTAAGTTTAAAAATTATCTTCAAGTAACAATCTATTCAGGTGAAGAACTTTTCTATTTTAATAAAGAATAAATAAAAGGGCATGAGGTGCCACATTTTATTGTTATGCTTGACATTCAAACTTCCGCCCCTATGCACTCACTTGCACTTGCTCTCTCTCTTTTCCTGCTTCCATCTTACATCTCCTCTTTCATCACTTCAAATCAATTTGTACATAGCTATCCCAAGTTAAATTATTACAAGGAGTACCTAGTTTTCCTATTTCATACTGTAGAACACTACACACTATTCCTGCTATATGAAGCTCTCTTTTTCATTCTATAAAAAATGTCTCTCCTTTTCTAGTTTCCTTTTCTGACTGGTCCGTTTCACAGAGCTGTAGACATGCTGCTGTGAGGGTAGGTTTAGAAATAGAGAATTGGAGGCCCTGGCACACTATGGATAATGTGATATGTATAGACTAGGCATAGTGATATAAAGCAGGTGATTGTGCCCAGTACATGATGTTGAAGAGGAAAGATGAGTCTGGAGTTGAAGACTTCCTGGAAGTCATTTTGAGATAATTTAATTACATGTAATCCCAAAAGGGAAAAAAGAGAAGTGTGCCAAGACCAGAACCATGGAGAATGAAATCAAATAAAAATCAGAGGCTATGGTCAAAGAGATAATACAGACTTTCTAGAAGTCTAAGGGAGAAAAGTTCCAGAATAAAAGACCAGAGTGGTTGGCTGGGTCAATCACTTCACAAAAATAATACAGATTAAGAAATGTTGAATTTGCCATTTGTTAAAATACCAGTAATTTTGAGAAGTTGCTTTGAGAAATTTGGTTATGGAGGAAGAGTGAACCAGCTGATGATGAAAGCGATCGGGGAAAATGGGATTTATTTTTCTAAGATTTTCAGTGATATTGATCTATTGCAGGAATGACGCAAGTGATTCTCATATTATTCCAGGTCATAATAAAACTGGTTGAGGTAATGCTCTGAGTAAGATTCAGCCAAAATATGGGGGGAAAAGTGTAAATATATGACTTATCAAAGTACCCCTGTTTTAATGAAGAGTAAAATCAAAAGAATAGGAGGACTTTGGGTATGTGAAGAAGAAACAGTAAAGAGCTAGAACTGTAAAGAATGTATTATCTTTGTATCCCCAATACACAGTAAAACAAACAAACAAACAAAGAACTAGTGCCCAGGAGAGACGTCAAAGATGTTCCTTATACCAAATTGTTCCTTCTCAAACTTCAGAACAGTAACTATGATGAGTTCTGTTCACTTATAATTGAAATGCAAGAAATGGAAGTGTTCACCAGGATAATAGCACTGATACCATAAAACTGTAAGCAGCAAGTACCCATAGTCACATGGATATATGCATTCCCCCCCCTCGGCTATATGCATTTTTTAAATTTACTTGTTTTAGTAATTTTTACTCTTAGTTTAAAATCTCTTACTACCGTTACAGAGAAAAGCTTCACTTTTAGGGCATTCTTTAATTGAGGCATAGTTGTATTAGAATTGAAAACAAAAGTTAAAGTTTCTATCTAAAATCTAACTAAATTTCATCTGTGATATGGGTTGAAAAATCACACTTTTCTTTCCTCTAAAATATCTGTCCAAATCTTAGAAAAAGTAAATATTACTTTGTGAACCCCATTATGTCACTGATCCGTACCTCTAAGACAGAAGGGGCAGATTATTTTTATTTTACAGAGGAAATAAGCTCAAAGTCCACATGATCAGCCATTACCAGAGCCAAAGTATGAGTGTTTGTCATACCTTTGTTTTTAACTCATTATTTTAAAATAATTTCAAACTTACAGAAAAGTTATAAGAATAGTCATGTGAATATCTACATCATTCACTTAGATTCATGGGTTGTTCATCTTTTGTCCCTCTGGCTATTTCTAGTCCTGCCTAGTACTCATGACAGTAAATTGCAAACATTATGACCTGCTACATCTAAACAATCCAGCCTGCATTTTCCTAAGTGCAAGGACCTTCTCTTGCATAGCCACGGTACACCTATCAAAATCAATAATTTTAACACTGAAAAAAAATGTTAACACTGGTACAATATATAGCTTTTATTCAAATTATGCTCACTGACCAATAATGTTCTATGTAGTCAAATTTCTCTTTTTTTTTTTTCTGATGTAGAGTCTAATCCACCATCATATGTTGCATTTAATCATCTTTTTTTCTCTAGGCTCTTCTAATTCTGAATAGTTTTTCACCCTTCCTTTGTTGTTCACAATGTGATTATTTCTGAAGGGTTAATGAGTTGTTTTAAAGAATATCTTCATGATGAATTTGCTTGATTTTTCTCATAATTATGTTATGCCCTTTGAACTGAAATGCCATAGTTTTGTACTTTCTAGTAACTGCTTCTGATCTTGGAAACTATGGGTAAATCTATGCTTTACTCCAGAAATTCCATAAAAAATACCACAGGTGGTTGTTTGGAGTCTCATTTACTTCATTTTATTCAGTATTTTTTGAACACTTAACTCTATTAATTTCTAGGTTCTCAGTTACCCTTTCAGCATCTTCTCCTACCAGGAAACAAGTTGCTGATGCAGCTTCAAATACAGCAGAGCCCCCAGTATAGTGCCATGATGAAGTCATGGTGGATAGGAGGGACCATTCCAAATATGTCTTATACCCCATTCCCTCGGGATTACAATAATGGCATTTTTTCTCTCTCTGTTCATTCCTGTGATATCGATTTTTTTTTTATCCTATAGCATGGAAAGAAATTAAATTGCGATTGATCTTCTCTTGTTCGTCACTTATTTTTTGAATGGCATTCTACCTGATTCCCACTAACACAAAAATTCAAATTAAAATAAAATGATACTGCAACTACTGACTGTATTTCTATGACAGATTTAACTATTAGTTCATAAAGGACAGCAATATTTCTATCAAATTGTCCTTTATTCATCCAGTTCATTATTCTTCTGATTCAGCATCTGTAGTAGGTAGGAGTTTATCATGTTGGCTTCCTTATCTCATCAGATATGGGAAACTGATTTTATCTAACATCTTTGTTGATTATATGAGTAGCTCTGTTTTACTATAGATATATAAGTTTTACTATACATATATAAGTTTTATACAGTTGGAGATAGTAAGAAACTTTGAGTATTGTTGGTAAACTTGCCTGACATAAATCAAAAGTTGCAAAGGGAACCCTCACAGACAGTGATAGAGCACTGTGCTTACAGAGTTATGGCTCCAATCATCCTTACACTTTAAAGCAAAGCAATTGTTACAGGTACTGACATTTTATTTTCTTTAGCTGATAAAAATAAGACTTACTTTTGCCAGTGATATACATTTTAAATGATGCTTCTGCAGTTCTGCAGTTTTATACTTTGTCCAAATGGACAAAGGGGAATTTAAACACATCAGAGTCCTCTCCATCTCTTTTTAACTGCATAGTCAACCTTGGTTTTGTGTCATATTCTTACTCCTAATATTTTGGTAATAGCTTCATGATGGAATTCAGAAATTTTCAGAGTTCTTACAATGAAATTACCTACTATTCATTATAACTGCTGAAAAATGAGATTACATAGCAAATTTTAGGTTAGGGAGTTGATGAGAGGGGAGCAAATAAAGACATATTACCAGATTCAAACAAACAAACAAACAAAAACATTGTTCTCATTAAGTCCTAGGAAACCATCCATGTATATTAATCACATGTTAAAGTAGGTAACTGCATTTCTTCATATTTTAGCAAAATAATATGTATTTTCCTTGACAAGAATTACATTAGGAACTTCATT